CACAGCGCTCTCCGAGAAGCACTTTTATTTTCCCCTGGTGCCTTGTCACTCTCCTAAATTGTTTCATGTTCTTTAGAGGGACTAAATAAAACCTGAAAAAGCAAATACATCCCCAACGGAGGGAGAGCTGGAAAACATCTTTTGTGTCACAGGTTTGCCGTCTGTCTGTGTCGAAACACTTTCTGCTCTTTTCTTCAAAATTGCATTTTTCAGTTGTGCTTGACACTCGGATCTCTGGGAGGCCTTGGCTGGAGCGGGCAGTGTGACTAAAGGGTTTACTGCCATCTGTTGGAGACAAGCAGCACTGATTAAATATTCATGATGGCTCTTCTCCGTGGCTGAGCTGAGTGTTATTAGTGTGAGACATGACCTAAGAGGGGATTAGCCACTTTGCAATTCCACTGTACATAAAGCGGCGGAGATTTCAACTCACCGCAACATAACAACAGTTTGCGTTCTGTGTTTTTATGCATGCTCAAGCGTTGAAATGGTAACTTAGATACTGTAATGCTGAAGAGCGGAGACCTGTAATCTGTATACTGTATGTGAATCATGCATAATACTTAAACAGGGCTTTTTATGACCCCTAAATATTTGTTTTATTTACTATTATTTATACACACTATCCATATTAGCTTTATTGATCTCACAATGGAGTAATTTACATGTCACATTTGGCATGGATAGAATCACTCAAAAAGACAGAAGTGTGCAACATGTTAGGGATGAAAATATAGTCTGTGCAGGATATAATTATGTACAATAAAAAAGTGGCAATAGCAGTGCTGGTTCTTCAGTCCTAGTACAGGTAATTAGTGACTTAAAGTGCCTTATTGACAGCGGTTTAGTAAAGATAGGCAAGAACATGGCTCAGGTGGAAGGGAATTGGCCTTTGAGACTGAAAGTTGTGAGTTCAAGCCCACCACGAGACCTTTTCCACCGACTCCCACCGATGTCTGCTGTTGTTTTGACATTTAACCCTACTTGGCCTGAAGCCCACGCTGAAAGATCAAGAGCGTCACCAACTGAGTAGCCATTTCTCCTGTGGACTTTCCAGCTGCAGGAGGATCAGTGAGTGGCTAGTGCTCGGTGAATTGGGTGGTAGGTCTGATTGCAAGACAGAGGGCCACAACAAAATGGCACTGGGGACCACGATTGTTGCTAAGTACCAACCAAGGTACTTAACAAAAGGAATCTTATTGTGTAAAACTCAAGATCCACAGTTTGGATTCAGCACTTCTTAGGTTCCAAATTTAAAGCTCAGAAACTTACAAGTTATTTTGCCTCTCCACAAAAACGACACATAGTTTTATAGATTCAATGTAGAAGGACCATTTTATAGTAAGTTATAATTATTCTTATAAGTTTGCAATGTTGTAGCCCCTCTCTCCACACGGGGATGGGAGTCACATGCCAGATCTATTGTACACGTTTTTAGTGATAGAGGAAACATACACAGACATGGGGAGAACATGCAAAACAGAGACTTGAAAAATGCCACGCTGCATATGATCACATACGAATCAACTTTATGCCACTCTCATTAGCTTTCCATGGAAATTCACTCATTGTGTATGGTCGGCATGGTGGCTGAGCGGCTAGCACTCGCTTCTCAGCAAGGGACTGGGTTTGAATCCCGGTCAGAACAGTGCCTTTTTAAGTGGCGTTTGCATGTTCTCCCAGTGTGTGAATAGAAATAAAAAAACATGTACAGTAGGTCTGGTCTATGCCGACCCCGCTCCGATCAACCTTCGGAGTGAGTGACAAATGCACACGATTGTAAACTGCTGTTATCGACTCGACTGTTCTGTGAAATGTGCAAAATACATTATGTAAATGTGCACTTTGTCCTGGTAGGGAAATTTGTCCTCTGCATTTGACCCATCCTGATGCTACCAAATCTTGCGTCAGGAGCAGTGGTCACCGTGGTACAGCACCCGGAAACCCATCTCCAGATTCTGATACTTGTCTTGGTCAGGACTACCAGAGGCGGAGGATTATACCTACATTGAGCATATTTTTAATGGCTGTTCCGATTGGGATGCGAACCCAGGACCTTCTTTCTTACTGTTAGTATTAGATAACAATATGGCCTACGTGCAGGACTGTACAAGGACTTTGATGATGACTCCATGTTTTGACTATGATGTGCTCTGTCTCTGTGTGACACGTATGTCTTTCCATGTGTGACGTGACAATGACTATATCAACTGTGTACTGACTCCATTCTGTCTGAGAGAAAGAAACAATGGAAACCACTGGAACTTGAGAGAAACTTAAATAAACTTCCAGAGTTTGGCGCACCACGATCCGTCTCCGTCTGCTTCATTCCTGACATTACTCTAGTTAAGGATCATGTTTATAGACCTTTTTGTCCCATTAACCGAACTACCCATGCATGATTTACTTCCTTCTCGAAAAGTTCACCTCATAACACCTCCGTCTAAGCTGGTTACATATTCCCAGAGTGTCCAGTGCTAACCACCACAGGCTGTTTTGTTACATTGTGAAATACCGGCTCCTAATGACTGTGCGTGGCCCTTTGTTTGGCTAACATCTCCAATCGGCAGCTCACTCTTGTTTATGCATGCTTGACGGCGCCATAATTACCATTTAAAGTGGGCTCCAAGTGAAGTGAGTGAGATTGGGGGCACACCTCCGGGTCGCTGTCTTCTGTGATTACTTGATTAGACCAGCGCTGGACGAGATAAATCGTTGGGGCATTTTTTTAAAGCATCAAGTGGAAGTGTGACCGAAAGGCATTTCCCAAAAAAATTATGCAACCTTTTGGAAACAATTACCTCTGACAGTGAAGGAGTGTTTGGATGGCGGTGTGGTTGGTCAGCGGAAACGGCAAAATTGTTTCAAAAGTGGATAAAACTAGAATAGGGAAATTACTGCAGGTAGTTTTAAAATTCTCTGCTTAACGTTACAACTGGGAAGGTTGAATGAGAGCAGATTATGTGGGCAACTTCAGAGCAAAAACAAAGCGTGGACTCATTTTTTTTGCTTCTTTATGGTTGATTGCATTTCCATAGAGAGAGAGAGAGAGACCAGGATGAGCAGAGAGACCAGAGAGAGAACAGAGAAGGACCAGAAAGAGACCAGACAGACCAGAGAGAGTAGAGTGAGAGCAGAGAACAGAAAGAGGCCACAGAGAGTGAGAGAGATCAGAGAAATACTAGAAAGAGATGAGAGACCCCTGAAAGAGACCAGAGAGAGATCAGAGAAAGACCAGAAAGAGGCCAGAGTGAGAGCAGAGTGTGAGAGACTAGTGACTTATTTGACCCCAGTCAGAGGGAAATTAGTCCTCTATAATTGACCCCATACTTCATTGCTAGAAAGGCGATAGGTCTGGGGACCTCTCCATATAGTTTCATGGTTCAAAAATACGGGGAAACCGGAGCACCCAGAGGAAACCCACCCAGACACAAAGAAATATGCTAACTCCACACAGAAAAGCCACCTACTTCTACTAAAACTGTAGTACACAGCTTGCTATAGGTGGAGCCTCAGCTCTGGTCTGACTTGACTGTTCCAGTCAAGCCTCACATCCTCGATCAAAATTGAAGATAAAACTCTTATCTGAAGGAGAGAAAATCCTATACAATAATTTTTCAATACAGTAACTATGTAATAATATCCCAATAATTTCTAACCAGTTTAGTTTTGTTACTACTAGTTTTTTCACACTTGCTTCTTTATCAAGATAAATATATAGAATTGACTGTACAGAGTTTTGCTATTCTCAATATTCACTTGTGTGCTCCTCATTCCTGTTCAACCTGCTTTAACCAGTGTGGGCGGGTCCCGGCTCCAAAAGGTCCATGAGCCCGTGCGCCGACATGCTGCAATCTCACTCCAGGCCGGTGGGGGTGTATCCAGAAAGAGAATTGGTTTTGTAAGGAGTCTTTCGTCTTGAAAACTTCTTTACAGTATGGTCCAAAAGTTGCTCTTGGCCAAATGCTTTCCATGCTGAGTGGAGTATTATATATTTTTATATATTGGACCAGTCTAGTTTAGTCGGTGTGGACTTTTGAGTGCACTTTTTAAATGAATGGTGCTAGTGCGGGCTAACGCATGCGTTACATTTTCCTATTGCGGCCACTTTGAAAAAGCCCACAGAAGGCAAAAGTAGTGGCATATTAGTTTCAAAGACTGAGATAGTTGTGACGCTGAACGTTAATGTTTACATTCTATAAACTCAACATTGAAGTTTCCCCACTGTAGGAATGAAGGATCTCGATGTTAATTAGTTTCTCAGTCACATACTGAGATCTGCCTTCTTTATTCCCAAAACTAAAGTTGGATAAGTAAAGGCTTGTTCCTCACATGCACACAGAAAAATGTGTCTTTGGGAAAGAAGTGTCTTTATTTTAAAAACCTCATGGTACAGAAAATTAAAAACTACAGCTCTAACATGGTTCTGTTACAAATTTAATTCATGGGGTCTTGCCACTTTTACAATATCAGTTTCAAAATGGCAACCAAATTTCAAGGATGGACAAACCCTTAAAAAAAAACCCAAAAAAAAACGTACAAGTCGCACAAAGTTGGTACAAATGTAATCGTTATCAGTAAATCGGTAAACAGCATTACCATCCGAGAGAGAGAATGTGCGCCTTAAGCAAATGGGAGAAGGCCAACAACATTCCGAACGGTTGACGAGAATAGCTTCTTTAGAAAAGGAACAATCTTTGAAAACAAGTTCCTTCAGTGTAAATAGATGAGAGGGGCTTGTGTTCTATTAAAAAGTATTGTGGCACCGTCCAGTCCAGTCCGCGTTACAAAGACAAGAATATCGATTTGGGTAAGAGTTTGCATCTAAAATAAACCAGTATTAAAGCCCTTACAATTCGAACTAGATATGAGGAGGTAGAAGAGACAAGAAAAAACAATTTCCCCCAAAATACCGGTTACAAAACTCCGCACTGCATTCGGTGCCGTGTTAATGTAAAAAATACTATCGCAAAAAAAATGGCAGTCGGCACCGAGGCTCCTCAGTCGGCTTCTTCGTCCTCGGATTCAGACTCTGGGGAGGAAGAAAACAGAAAGATACGTAATGTCAGTGTTTGAGGACATCTCATCCGTCTTACTGCGTGACGATGGTGACAACTGGCAATTTATCTTTAAGATGGTTTAGAGAGTGGACTTAAGTGGGAAATCTGAATATGTAGATTTTAAAGAAATGACGTAACTGCAGTTTTAGCCTCATTTCAAGCATATTAGCATTGTCGCTTTCATTAACGAGACCGTTTTCAAATCTCACTTTAAGTCTTGTTTATGTCAAAATTCAGGCAATCGTCAATTGTAATTAGAATGTAAGTAAGTAATCTTTATTTAAATGGCGCCTTTTCACAATTTTTGAATGGTAAGTATTTTTGCTTGAATGTAGTTTCTCATTAAGGATTTTTTTTAAAGTTTTCAGAGAATACTTAATAATCTAAGCTTGTTTTAAGTATTTTTTTATTATTATTTCCAGACAGCTTTTTTTGTTGTTTAGATAAAATAAGTATTGTTATATTTTAAGAAAAAAAATCTCAAAAATGTTTAAGAAATAACTATATATACACATGAAATTTATGTTTTAAACCAGAAAAAAGTCATTTGGGGATAGTATTATCTTATTTCAGAAATCTTATCAAGACATATTTTATAGTTCTATTGGCAGATCATGTTTTTCTTTTGAAGTAGTTTATTTCTCATTTATTTCCAGTGCAGAGACACAGCGTGGGCCGAGCGCTTTACCTTCTTCTGCGTTCTTGAGCCACTCCACAAACGTCTTCATCTGTTCAATGAAAACGCTCTTCCCTTTGGCGTGGTGGGCGTCATTGTACCACTTCAAAATGGCCCCCTCGCTCACGACGTCGGCTGTGAAACAAAAGCGAAGAAGGGAGACAAAATACAGTTAAATGTTTTGCCAGACGCACAGATGCACCAGCAGGTGCCCGAGAGGCGAATGTTGCCAGGCAGGTTGACGACATCAATCAAGACTAAAACTTTTGGCAATAAATCGTCCGCCATCTGGCAACACCGTCGTACCGGGCGAAGAAGAAAAAGAGAAGAGAAGAAGGAAAAAAGTTTAAGAAAAACCACTTGCCTTTGTAAAGCAGCACGACAATTTTCTGAAAGGCTTTCATGAAGTGGATGTTGTCGTAACAGTATTCCTGGATCTTCAGCATGAGTGTGACTTCGGAGAGCCCCTGGGAGGTAAACGCGCTCAACAACGGGCTGTATTGCTGGAAGACACAGGAGACCGCAATTAGCCACTCTCACAAATTGGAAAAGTTGCTTCTAAAAATGGATGCACAGTCAGACAAAGTTGGGACCAGAAAGTTGCAGGTTTGTAGTAGAAGCAAAAAAGAAAAGAAAAAAACACTAGTCATAAAAGAGAATACAATATTGAGAGAAAGCAAATGGACGGATGGATTATGGCGCACAGCTTACAGACCATTTGCTAAATATTCTAATGGCCTAAGATGTTAAGGTTTTTTTTCTGTGAGGCAATTATAGCAACAGGCAATTATAGCAATTAGGGGCGACAGTAGCTCAGTTGGTAGAGCATTGGCCTTAAGCCCAGAAGGTCGTGGGTTCAATTCCCACCTGTCGTTGTGTCCTTGGGCAAGACACTTAACCCCACTTTGCCCAAAGCCCCCACTGAAAGATCAAGGCTATGCTCACACTCAGAGAGCAGCCGTCCTCCTGTGGACTCACCACCTGCAGAGGGTCAGTGAGGGGCTGGTGCTATGAGACTTGGGTGGCATCTCTGATTGCCACCCCCCTGACCCAGAAATGGATTAAAGGGTAGAAAATGGATGGATGGATGGATGGCAATTATAGCAACGGCTTCATACATCTCTTGGGCATGTAATGAGATACATTTGTTTCACAAGTGGAGTGACAGTATTGTTCAAAAGTCTATTTACTTAATGTAAGTTTCAGAGTTTCACTTGTAATCACCTCACTTTATTGTAATTGTGTCTGTGGCATAAAGTACTTTCAATATCACTACACACATCAAAACATTTGCATTACGACAAGTGCTTCCTCAAAAACCCACACATTTCATGATTGCACAGACTCGTGGGTAAATACAGCAGGACTGAGCAGTGGCCCCCAGACTGTACCTTCAAATGTTTGATGGCTTGCTCCGTGACCAGCTCTTCCTTCTTGTTCCACTCCACCAGGCTCATTAAACTGGCCCAGATCAGTCCGATCATCGACTGCTCGGAAATATTGTTCTTCTTCAACTCCTCCCTCGAGAAGGCAATAATCTGCAGGGCCCCAGAACACAAAGGCATCAGCGATAACTCCACTCTGAGGCTACGAGGTCCACTTTGCATCAGATGCATCCGTCAGCCTGGTCTCTTATTAACCTTATTTAGCTTTAAACCCATTACATCGGCCGTCCCGAGTAGAAGTGGGGGTTGGATAATTAAGGATTTTACAGGTTTGCCAGCTTTTTCCCACTTCTATCAAACTCCAGCATGATCAGAATTACCTATATTATTAAAAAAAACTGAAAAAAACTGAATACATCCATGAACAACATACATTTATGTTTTGCAGATTTTCTAACCTCAAACGATACATATTTGTCTTGGGCTCCATATATAAGCTGAATGTTACTTCAAGGGGGTACCATTCACAAAAATGCCATGCCACCAATTATGAAATTAATGTTGAATGCATTTGTAAAAAAAAAACTGAACTTTTGGAAGTTGTACCCGTTTTTTTTAATTGTATTGGATAACTGGTATTTTATTGTATTTACTTTAGACATTATAATTGCTTTACTTTCAATAATGCTGGAAAACGTGCATTTTTGGTGTTACTTTAATCTCTTGGATATTTTTTTTATAGCATATTATGGATTCAGTTTTTGGACCAGCCACACCTTTCTACCACTAACGAGATCGCGGGTTAACACATCTGGCCCGTTGCTTTTCAGAGAAAGCCTGGACTGGACACAGACCTCTTTGAGGGGCTCCCCACGCATCATCTGCTCCTGGAGCTCCTTCTGCAGTTCTTTGCGGGCGCCGATCGACTCCTGGTTCCTGACGAAGACCGAGAGCTCCTTGAGTCCCGCCTCGGTGAAGTACTTGCAGAAGTGATCACAGCTGCGCTTGTTGGCCGGGAACAGCTCCTGAGAAATGGGTAAATAATCAAGTGAGACAAACGCTTAATCAATGAGTCGTTAGCAACTCATTCATTGAGTTTACTCCAAGCCTCTAAATTTGAGGAAAAACGCTGATGATGCCTCAAGAGTCTGAAAGACAAAGTAGGGCTGGGCAATAAATCGAATTTTGGCAATTAATCGGCTTTTGAAAAAATCTAATTCATGAAAAATGTGAAAATTGTAAAAATCGAATGAGGGATATTGTGAGAGTTCCAGCAGCACATCAATTATACTTGCGATATCAGCAGTCTGTACAACACTTTCATAATATGTATTGGGGAAACAAATAAAAAATAGTTTTGAAACTATTTAGCGGGAAGATAAAACATATTTTAAGGGCAAAGTCTGTCTTGAGTGACTTTAATGAAAATCGATTTAAAATCAACATCGTCCAAAAGCAGAAAATAAAATAGAGATTTTACTTTTTTGCCATATCGCCCAGCCCTAAGACAAAGCGTTCGCAAACACATTTCGATGGGAGCCAGTTTTTAAACAACTCATGGGCACCAACCAGTAATCTGACTACAATTCAAAGTACAGGTACAGTACATTGTGTTTCTCCCATGTTTTAAAAAGTGAATAGGATTTTCCAGAATTTTAGGAAAAAAACGGCAATCCTCAGAGGGAAAGCTCATTAAAACGTGTCTCATATCATCAGGATAATTGACAATAAGGAGGACCAATAGTCTAGACCATCCACCCGGAAGAAAATAATTTCATATCGTCATCTTTCCAACAAATCATTTTAACTTTAGATTTAAGAAAGCCCATTGCGGATCCAGCAATACAAAATAGTCCCAGCCTTTGTGGTTCTCGATATAAAATAGTATGAGGGCTGTTATTTGCACTGGGGACATCACAATAAACAAAGCCCCATCCATTTGATCTCTGAAAATCCGTCTTTGACCGCGAATTAAGAAGGTTGAGTTTCGGAGATCATACGAACGCTGCACAAGTGCCATAACAGCTGCCCGTCCTCGCACACCACTCTCGATGTATAAGCGTCGTCTAAACCCAGTGTGTGTGCAGAGCGCTCTTACCAGGAGCCGGTTGTCCATGCCAACTTTCCTCAAACTCGCAGCCACCGAGCTTATGTCCTTTTCGGAGAGCCAGGATTTGAAAAGTTTCACCGCGAAGGCAGCAGAGACACCTGAACAAATGCAGAAAAGTGCGCGTCAGCCGTTTGTGTGCAGCCCTGGTGGGATGAGGCGAGGTGTGAGTAATGCGTCAGTAAACACGACTCCGCGGGAGGCAATTAGACGGCTCTGTATGTGGAACAGCAGCTCTAAGAGAAGGCCGCGGTCTAGACTCGGAGAAAGCAGCTGAGTGCGAGGGCTTCAAAGGAGTGAGGAGCGCAGGAGAGGCTTAGACGCAGACACAGGTGTTTGCCAGGACATTACACGAACAAAAGGGTCAGGAGTTCAGCATGGCGTTGGGACATGGGGGACAAAGGGGAAACCAACACCATTCGCCACTGTGTATTAGCTTTCAATTGAGAGCCATTACGTCTATGCGGCCTAAAAATCGATACCTGCCACGAGGAGGATGTCATAGATAAATGGCTTTAATAGTTCAATCACTCAAGAATGAGCCTCTTTATGCAAGGCTCATCTCAGAACCCACATCACTGGCTATGCGGATCACACAAAAATAAATAAAAACACAACACTACTTTAGTTTCTACAAAAACTGATAAAAATGCTTCCACAACTTCAAAAGAAGCTAATCAAAATGAACCAACTGCAAACCAAATGTAAAAATAAAAAAAAGAGGTATAATCTCTAGAACATACATAAAGTTCTGGTTTATACATAAACATAAAAGGAATTTGTAGAATCTTTATTTGTTTGGAGGATAAGCCCCTAGAGATGAATCATTTCGTTTTCGAGGGGGTCCTCAAAATTACAACGTTAGTCTTTTAATTTAAACTTAAGTCTTCCTTCAAGAGGTGCAGTTAAACTTATAATCCTGGTTCGAGACAGCGCTGGATCAAATCCGTAATTTAATAATTAGTTCCACGTCCCATTTCTGAACTGAAAATGTTGAGGCTGGATTTCCTCAACTCTACATTCAATGGAATGAGACCATTTACTGCCAGATATTCACCCAGAGCATCTTAAGAGCTTAAACTTTTACTCAAAAGTTGTTCTGTAGTAACTTACAGAATAAAGGACAATCTGGGCCATTTTGTTGTTAAGTTACTGTGACATGCGATGGATATTTTCTCCCGTTACACATTTGTCCAGACATCAAAAGAACAACTACGTGACGTCAGATAACTACATAAATCCATCTAGAATATTACATCAGGAGGACCAATCAAACTCCAAGGCACCAACACTGTCTTAATCCTGAAGCATTTTTGCCAATCAAAATTTACACAACACCACAACTTCTGTGCAGAAATGCATGAAATGTGATAAAAATATGAAAAAATAAATGGAAAAGTATGCAACATCTTTGAGAACCCCTGTCTTACACAGAGAAAGCAGCGCTGGCAGGCAGAGCGTGTACCTTCTTTGACCAGGTTCTCATTGAACAGGCTGCTGAGAATGGAGGCAGAAATGTTCCCGTTGGCCAGCAGAATCCCTGTGAGCATGGCCAACTTGTTTCGCTCCGACTCGGTGAAGCCTTTAAGGAAGAGCAGCAGCTGCAGACGTGGAGGAGAAACGCAGTTAAGGACAGCGCACAAACTCCGGAGAGATGAACGATGAAAGCACAGGGCCAAGACGTGGTTGCAGATTACAGGTAACGAGACGCAAAACTCACTTTCTTAATCTCCTCCTCAAACCCTTTCTCCAAGTACTTGTAGCGCCGGATCAGCTTGTTAAAGACCTGAAGGAAACAAGACACAAGTTGTATGAACACGCCCTTCTATTGGAATCGAAAACAAAACCAGTGCAGGAATTACGCAATGCAGAAAAAAAAACATAAAAAGGACAATTCACCAGCTCTCTGAAGACCGATAAACAAGTGCTCATTGTTTTGCTCCCATTCATTAAAAACAAAATATGTTTTTAACGCAACTGGTTTAACGCCTTGAGTGGTAACCTGGTGGTCTGAATCCAGATATGAACCATAATTCCTTTTTTTAATAAACCGCTTTTCATACAAACCTGTGCATGAAATTAGCTCTGGTTAGCGAATGGCACTAGTGTGAATGGACCAGAGCTGCTCTGGATTGGCTCATTGCAGGGCTGGGCGATAAAACAATAGACACGTGTTCGATATCAAGTGAAAACAGGGTCGATAGAATGTTCGATTGTTTGATGTCTGGAGGCCTGGGGCAAGACATTCTTGCAGACCAAAGAGGACTTTAGGTGAGGTTGTGTGATTTTTAATCATTTGTATTTTAAACCAAATTTAGAGTTGACCTGATGTTGCAACATAAAAACAATTTCATTTGGATGGTGTAATTTTTGAGAATGAGAAGATTTGGGATTTTCACACTTCTTTTAATGGATCATCCGGGATTAGACATTCAAGTATTGCACAAAAGTGAATGTGCAGTGGCATTATGTGACAAATACATACTTAATACCCTCGTTTGGGATACAGAATAAACTTTTCAAAACAAACGGCATGCTCTGTTAGTTATTAGCAAGTAGCTACGCCAATTAGGGTCACATTACACTGGCTTTTCTTACAAGTAAAATTGAAAACATTGCCGACTGTTTACACAACAGCCGAGGATTCTACTCACCTGAGCATAAGCCTGCATTGTCTCCATGTCTTCTTGTGCTTTAAAAAGACAGAACTCAGTGCACGTCATGTCATCAGATAGAGTTCCTCCAGGGGCTGGAAAACAAAACAGTTTTATTCAGACTTAAAACTCCACTGCACTTTGGTGACATTTCTCTGCAGTCATATAAGTTGCTCTATTTTGTATTTGTTTGTGAAAAGTCGACAGAAGCCGCTCACCCAGCATTCCCCCGGCCACCAGGATGTCAAACAGGGTCTCTGCATAGCGCCGGTAGTCGAGCTTGGCACCAGAAGCATCAAGGAACTTCGCAACAGCTTCCAAATCAGTGCCAGATTGGTTCAGACCTTGTACAATAGTTTCCTGGAATTGTGTTGGGTCAAATCTCTCCTTTTCATCTGACAAGAAACAAACAAAAAGTGAGGCAATTTGTATTAGATTAAAGTAGATTTACAGATGAGAAAATAGCTGTGTTCAAGAATGTGCAAGATAAAACATACAGAATAAGCATTGGAACAAAAAACTTATTTAGCCATAATCAAGACAAGAAAGGTTTTTAGGGATACCTCAAAACTGCCAGATACCTACACAGACAAAGGGCATCCAACTTTTCTGCTGCCAGCTTCTATAATAACCCTCATTTATGAAGAATTTAAGAATAAGCTTATATCAATGCTGTAATTATGTAATTTTCCCATTTAGGATTTGATGCATCTGATGTCCATGTTAACTGTAGCGGCTACTGCTGAAAACTTTGAATTTTCTCTTTTGGGACAAAGTATTTATATCTTAGCTACATCAGTGTTTCTTAAACTGTGGTGTATGTCCCACTGCAGGGCTGCCTTTATTAAAACAGACTTGGAAAATGTGTACTATTTAAAAACATTGACCTCATTTGGGCTAATAATCATAATTCAAACCAAACCTGACGTAACCTAGTCTTTTTTTTTTACCTAATAAAGTAATGTCATGTTGGACTATTGCAGCATTAAAAGAGGCCTAATGTTATCGCTTTTACTCAAGTTTAGCCTTCTCTTTGTGATGTGAACTGAAATGAAGTCCAAAAAGATGCCCAACACAAGCCAATACGACACAGCCTTCTTTGACGTAATAAAAACACAGGGAGCTAAATTGGTGGTGATAAAACAAAGGACAAACAACCAGTTGCAACAAGACAAGGCGTCGCTAGACACTGCTGATGCACCCATTTCAACATGTCCAACCCTGCATTTAACTAGTTAAATCAGTGAAAACTTACCTCTTTTACGAGTTTTGAAGCGCTGGCCTGTTAGCGTAGGCTTCTGCTGCCTTTGATTACTCATAAAAGACTCTCTGGACAGACACACAAACACATCCAACATTAGCATGGATAATAATAGCCTGCACGATCACCCATTTTGTGCGCAGGCCTTTGCCACTCAAATCTAGATAATGAATCGTGAACTATTTAACAGCAACTTTTCAAATCCAAACAAAGGAATATAAAAACCCGTGAGAGGAAGGCACACCAATGCCAGTATATATTTAAAAATGGAAACAGGATGTCGAATTAGGCCCAGACTGACATCGGCGTTTAATCTAATTACCTTCAACTTGTTTATTCCTATACGACACGCATAAAGCAGTCTATTTTGAGGGGAATGCATGCGATTCTGCAGCTTTATTGAGTGATTTTAGTGTTTGAAATACAGCTTTAGCCTGCACGACTCATGGTACAATAGCGATCGCAGTTTGCACAACACACAAGCGGCTATCCGTGTTTTAGCAGCGTCCACCTGTGAGAAACCCACGGCTGCCATTTCCTTTCGCCAAATCGTTCGCGAATATGAGAATTTACGAGCTTGAATAGACGTAAAACAACCTATCCACTCACCGAAATACTATTGGGGTACAAAAACAGTCCGTAAAACGAAAAGTGATTCGCTGTTCGCACTCCAACCACGAGTACTCCCAGAAAAGGAGAAATTGTAGACGCAGCGGCGCATGCGCAGTGGCATTAAATCACTCCGGGACGCTGCATTCACAAAGAAGGGGTGCACGTTTTGAGAAATAGAATCAAACTTGGTTAATATGTGTCGTTTTCACTTATATGTGGACACAAGCGTCTAGTTTGTTGTGAGTTGTTCAGTTTATTTGCTCTGTGTTGACGTACTTGAAGTCGGTACGTAATTTGCAAGCGCTATGACGCCATTACCCCCCTACAATGAACTAAAAGTGTTTAACTTCGGAGAAAATAATAAATAAAACAAAATAAATAAAAATACATCCAGTTTTTCAATGAATGTAATTTTATTTGAGTGTGGCTGATGTGTTTTGAGTTTCTACAGTGTATGCGAAGTTGGAATCGTGGTTGGGATAGTCCTCCTAATGCTGCTACAGGGCAATAGTTGCTATGTAGAATGGAGACACAGGAGGGGGATATTGTCCTGCCGGGCACTGCTGCTGGGATAAAGGGAAAAGTGGAGTGGTGCGTTGATATTCACTTCGTAAACGAGGCTACTGAGAGCGTCCTGATTTATAGAGAAAAGTATAATGAACACACATAAGTGAACAAGCCTGTTTCTCTCATGCGTGTCATGTGTATATCGACAAAGCCTACGCCTTTTTTTCCCCATTTCAATCTTCTTTAGGCCTTTACTCTATCATGCAGCAAATTACCCACATCTATTTTTAGGTGTACTGCCATTAATCTTTACTTGTTTAGTTGATTTTATGTCTTTGTTAAAACTGCGAACAAGAGAAAATATAGAGCAAACCAGATGTTTGTAGTCACTATGATATTCAAGCCAGATTAAACTCTCCATTGAAAAAATATATATAATATAATTTAATTCAGTTATGTGAGCACAGTTTGATTCAGATGACTAACATAGACACCCCACACCCCTGTCACTTGATTATAGCAGTTGTATTGTAGGAGGATTTTCCCAAATTTTAGGAAAGAACCGCTCTCTCCAATAAAAAAAAACCCAAAACGCTTTGTGTTCTTATTTGAAGAGAAAGTATCACCAGAATGATTGACAATTGGGAGGACCAACAGTCTTGATGATCCACCCGGAAGTAGACAATCCTCCTATTTATCTCTACGGCTCTGCAGATTCAGATTCAGATTATTTATTTTTTTGCCATCCGCAGTAAAACCACATTGGAATACAAGCGCAAAAGACCCCAGTTCATCAGACAAGTATATAAATTAAACACGCTAAAAAAGTAAAGGAATAAAACAAGCTAAACAAGTACAAGAATAAAACAAGCTTAAAAGCACAATAATAAAGCAAGCTAAAACGTACAGTGATAAAGAAAGCTAAAAAATTAAAGGAAAAAAAAGCTAAAAAGTACAGTAATAAAACAAGCTAAGAAGTTCAAAAATAAAACAAGCTAAAAAGTACGGGAAACAATTGTCACTGTGGAACCAATGAACAGAACAGTTCAAATAACAAGTGCAATAACGTTAAAATTCTGTGTTCTTTGTTGTCGGAAGCAGCTCTGCGTGCAATTGTATTTTATTTTTGTATTTATGTACTTTCTGCGTGCCCTGTTTAAAAGTTCCTACGCCACGTAAACCCAGCATCACTCCAGCCCCTGTGCACGCCATCCCACGGCCCTCCCCCCCGCATGTGTCCGGGCTGGAGGTGATTAAGGGACGCTGAACTATGGGCTAGAGACGCCGCTCGCTCGCTGCTTCTCTCCAGTCCAGCCACTCCCCAAGCGGTGTGGTCCCAGCTCTTTCCACCACCTCACCTCCAACTAAACCCCCGTCCCATAGCAGCTCCAGAGCGGGCTGAGTTTTGGATGCTGCCTGCGGCTGCCCATCCATCCATCCAAGTAGACAGGGGCGCGCAGAAAAGGGGAATCCAGTTTGGACCATACACAAAGCAGAAGAAGAAGAAGTGACTGGTCAGAGGAGATACTTACTTGGGAGAATCCTCGGCTTTGATCCTACTTTTGTCCCAAGGCGGATTTACAACGTGAGGGACTTTTGCGCACGTAAACAAGGCAAGTCAGACACACACGTTGCGCGCATAGAAACTTTTTGCTTGCGTTTACAGTTTCCCATTCATTTTAAAACGCAGAGTTTCCGATCCTGTCTCAGCAACTTCATTCACCCCCCGCCCCCCCTGCAGTTGATGCAAGAGGGGGTTTAGAGGTTAGTGGGGGGGATGTTTGACTTTTCAAAACCGCTATGTTTGGATAAAGGTAGTTGGACACGTTTTGGCTTTCAGATAACTCCATGTTGAATCTTGTGGGAGTTAAACAAGATGATGAATGATTGGCACGTTTCATGGATCTGCAAGCTCAACACTGCAGTCTACAAAATCACAGAACAATAAGAATGGAGTAGATTTGTCACTCAGACTAGACTAGTAGCATGGCTTGGTGACAGACTTCTCTTTTTCCTATTGCAGAATGATAACGTAAACTGGCTTGATGTTTATCATGAAATATTATTGCTCTTTTGAAACTGCTGTATTGCATTATGTAAACAAAGCATTGTTGCCTACAAGGAATAATGAAGCAGTCATGTTGTGATTTGAAGCACCACTTATCAAAACTATCATCTCCAATTTCAATATTGATCCAATTACAATATTTTCTAGGTTGTAATGCGGTTAATGGGCGTCATAATTTGTGAAGGTTTGAAGTTTTAAGCTAAGGTTTTTATTCTCCAATGTTTTTTCAGTAACTCAAAGAAATGCAAGTTGACAGTATGTGTTCCAGATTAGTATTGCTTAATAACTTTATGGTCGTGACTGACTGTTATACTTTCAAGGCTGATTTTAAGCTTTGATAATGATGCCTATTAAATTACTTGCTTGTTGAATCTGAAAACTTTACCAGTCCCTGGAGAATGAATGGGAAATGTACTAAATAATTGTAAGCAGTATGTTGTTCTGCATTTAGATACAGATAGGTACAGGATCTGCTGACATCTGTGGATTTTCTTCACAAATTTGTTCCATGTTACCGGGAAAGTCAAATTGGACTTTATTACCCGCAGTGATCAAACAAACAGAGATGTAAGTCAACCGGTGGAGGTCTGCAGAGACTTGTGGAAAAAGTCACCGCCATTTAAGTCAGACTTTGAAGTAGGTAGAAATCCTGTATTGCATATCCACTGGTTGTAATATACGTGCACTGTACAAAATTAGTAGTATTTAGAACTGGGTCGGAAATACTCTTTAGTTGTTGAGCAAAACTAAACATATCTCAAACTGGGATCTTCATTGAATTCAAGCAATGTATAACGGATTCTGACCTTTTTGTTCTAGTAGTCCTGGTTTTATTGTTTATTGTATAGACGAACAAATAATGAAACTCATCAGATACAATTTTGCCACCATTTTTTTCTCATGTTTTCAAGCCATCTCTAAACACTCCACTCACGACTGCATCAACTCAATCCAACTTTTCCATCAGAATCCAATATGTAAAAAGCTGTAAATAATATATAATTTTTTTCAGCTTTTTTGCATGGTCTGATTCAGAAACATTAGCCCTTTGATGCCAGTTCTGTTTCTGGGTCATTGAGGGCATTATTTGTATGAAATGGATTGTATAAGAGTGGGGGATGTGGTTGATTGTCACAACCACAAATACTCTGGTTTGACGGAACATCAGAGTTTTATTTAGAGACTTGTATTGGCTGCAAAAGACACTGAAAAATGACAAATAGTAAATATTTGTTGAATTGGGTGAAATGTATCTGGGTTTTACTTACTCCAGTTTGAAGACAGACAAGATTAACTCACTTTTTAAAATAATGAACACATTTATTCTATAGAAAATCTTGGGAGCAAATCAGCCCACAATAATGATACAATATTTGTTATCGTTTTTTCATACTTGTAAGAAATAGCCTTGTGCTTTGGGCTGAGAGCTGATTGGTTCAGCGAGGGTGGTCTTATCTGAAGACGTGATGGAGGCCAAAAAGACATGCAGGTGAAAACTAGCTGTGGAGAAAAAACTGCTTTTGTGTGCGAGGAACTAGTAGAATACAGTTTTCTTTTGAAAGATCTGTCATTGGGACAAGCTAAAAAAAGATATTTCTTAATACATTTTTTAAGATATTGTTGTTTGTCCGTTTTTGGAAAATGTTGTCAAGCTTGTGCTAAAATAATGATAAACAAACAGCCTTATTATTGTTGTTATCCATCGATCCATCCATTTTCTTCCCCAATATATTGGTATTATAAGGCAGTGAATGCTTATTTAATTATTGAATATTCTTTTAGTCGTTTTGCTTTTCTCCTGAACTAAATGAAAGCTGTCAATACCGTCAGAAGTCTATCCTCACATATTTGATCTGGTGAGTTTCAGTATCCCGGCAGGCCTTAATGGCAGCGTTTGTCCCGTCCCCATGTGCCGTATGTGTAATGTGTGCAGACGTGAGCAAAGTCCTCGAGCCGCGGTGCTATGGTGATGAATGGGTGTTTGCTCTGGTCTGGCTTTAGTCTAGTGAGGCGTGCGTCTGCTGTTAGTCCAGGACCAACACATGGGCCAGCGACATGAAGAGGCCAACGAGACCGTTTGACTCAAGGATGGTAGTCTCCAAAAGAGCTGCCAATTTCTTTTCTTCATTTCTGTAGTTTTTTTTGTTTTTGTGAAGTTCCATTTGTTTACTTTATTTTCTAAGTTGTTTGCCATAATGGAAAGAAATATGCGGTTATACTTGTTTGACTAAATGCTGTTGACGTTAATTAGCATCCACTTAGTTTAGTTTAGTTTATTCCAACACATAATTAGAGAATGAAAAAAAAGCATGTTAAAGGAGACGTATGCCATTTTTAAGACTTTTTGAACTTGCTGTTGTACTAACCACAAGAGCTGAATTTTGATGATTTTTCCTAAATTGACCAGCCTTACGCCATTTAGAGCCTTTTTGACCCCAGTAGTATATTTTTGCTTCCACATTTTATCATTGTTTTTCAGTCATTTTGACCCGAGGGTTAACCACATTATAAAATTGTCATAAAAAACAGACTTGGCGTTTTGTTTTTGGTTTTGTACACGCTATTATCAGGAACAAAACATAATACTCATTTTTCTTTTATTATTTTTTTCCTAACAATGGCGAACACTGAGAAGCACAGACGTAGCTGGATTGAAAGAAGAAAAAACCACTATCAGATATGAATTGCCATTCTGTTTATCACGGTGGAACAACGTGACCCATGTTAAAAATATCTTTTCACCATTTCCATTTTTCTTGTAATAATGACTCACGTAATCTCGTATGTTGTTGTATTATTTTACAGACTTACGTGTTACATTCTCAGTTTGAGCCTTTGCAATGAACCAGCTCGTGCTTGTTATTTTATGACTTTCCCCAATGCGGTTTGACTCCGAACACTTTCCACATTTGCTATAGCAGGAGTAATAAATCCTCACAGTTTGATCTGGTTCTGTGTTGCTTTAGGTCCACTGCAGCTGTTTTCTGCATTGGTTTAAGTCGTACTCTACTCGCCTGCCACTGACCAATCAAAGAGCAGCTAATGCAAAAGTGTCAGAGGAACACTTCATCAAGCTGGGACGACTGGCAAAAACTAACTTCTGCAACGCACTGGGTTTTCATATTTTTATGAGGACTGAGAAAATTGGGAAGAAAAATTGGCCCATTTACCTTTTTCTAACAAGCATGTTGCGATTATTTTATGATTTTACAAGAGAAATATATACTGTAATAAATTGTGGCCATACCTGCATGTGAAAGCCAGATCCTATCAAACCCCTGAAGCTAAGCAGTGCAGGGCCTGGTTCGTATTGTGATGGGATCCCTCTGGGAATACAAAGTGCCTCAGTGCTGCTGATGTAAAGAACCAATCTGTCATTGTGTCTTTAGGCAAGACGCTTCAACCACATTGCCTAGAATGAGTCTTGTGTGTGTACGTCAATGGTTGGTGGTCTGAGGGGCCAATGACATAGACTGTTTGCCTTGCTTGTGACAGTGTGCCCCAAGGCAGCTGCGGCTACAGTAGTCACCAATGTGCATTGAGTAAAAAAAATGATTTGTCGGTGTGACTTGAGTGTCCAAAAAAGCTCCCTTTAAAACCATTGCATTATAATAACTTCAACATAAATTTCCGGTTTTTCCTATGGCACATTACATTCGGCTTGGACAAAAATGGCTGAGCTACTCTTGAAGCTGTGGAAAAAAGAAAACAAATTTAATATAGTTTTTGTGCATCAATATTTGAGCTAAACATTGCTTTCCATACAGTTTTTTCTTTTCAAATATAAATGGTAAAGTCTTAAAATGGGTAAAATTTGACCACAAAGAAGACAAGAGGTCAATCTCGAGTCTTGTCTCTTACTTGTGGACCCAATCTTGTCTAGTTTAATGGAAATTCAGTCTTATCCCATCCCTACTTTTTACCATTACCACGACATTTTAAAATGCTATTATTAGGAGCCACCATGGGAAAATGTGTGCAAAACGGGGAGATTGAAGGAAGTTTAAGTTATGAAAATATTGTTTTGGTTGCGTTTCTCAAGCTGCACTAAAGAACTCTGTGGATTTGGGTTGACTGGCTACGTATAGTTTCCAAGATCACACGAGTCGCGCAATGATCATCACCAAAAATTATGAAAGGGTCATTTATCAATCCTGCAATGGTGCTTTTGTAACTTTGACACGTGGGATTCTGCAACGCAAATCCAAGCCATTATACTCTAACGACTTACCCTCTCAAACGTGACCACAGACGGCAATAATTACGCAATGCAGAAGTAAGGGAAACTTGACTTCCTATCCGATAAATCCTTTGTTTAAACACATAGTCTCCCAACACGCAAGCACACTCAGGTTTCCTATCAACA